ACAGCCTCTAGCCGACGAAGCCGTAGCATAGCTAAGCTAGGCCAGGCCAGTGGCTGCTAGGCCTACTACTACTACTACGGTGCAGCAGCTGATGATGCAGAGTTCGATAGAAAAAGGTAAGATAAGAATACTATACAACCATACTAATGTAATAAAAAAAATAATACAAAGCCAGGGCAGACTGAGCCTACCCTCATTTACCTTACATTCTATACTAGGCCTAGTTACTACGAACTACTAATATAGGCCTAGGCCAGGCGTAGACTGCTGTCTGTCTCAGTCTGTCTGTCGGCCTAGGAGGCCTAGGCCTAGCCTAGTAGTAGTAGGAGTACTAGTTTTTAGGGCCTAGCCCTATGCTCGGGAGGGCCAGGCCCTAGCTACCTACTCTACTACTGTACTAGGTTAGGCTAGAGCATAGGCCTGGCCCTGCCAATTATTATTATTATTATTTTTTTTTTTTCGATTTTTTTACTTTTAATTACTGTACATAAATTGTTTCGTCTCATATTTTGTCCAATGTATTTTAAAGTTTTATTTATTTGAATGTCTGCTGCTTTGATATTGTGTTTCCCCATTTTATTATTGAATTTCTTCGTATGTATGTTATAATATTAGGCCTATTAGTATTACCTGTACTATAATAATAATAATATTATTATTGTTATTATTTTTTTGGTTTATTGCCGTTTTGACTCATTGCCATTTTGATCCATTGCTGTTTTGGTAAAAATAGTGTGCCGTTTTGACTTACTGCCATTTTGGATTATTGCTGTTTTGACTAGAAAGCCACCTTCTTAAAAATTTATTGTCCTTTTTCTAATTTGCAATGTACTGTATTACAATCATTTTTTGTCTTTAATTCAACAGAACATGGTAGAGTAGTGGAAAGTACCTAAATGAAGATGGAAAAAAAAAACAGATAATGATGGATAGGTAAGTTGATCTGATAAGTTATTGTTAGTATTGTTATCGTTTTAATTCTATAGTTACCCTGTCAATTGTTGCTCATTAACCAATTGTTTTTTACTGTAACATATTTCAAATCTCTGAATTTTCAGATAAGTGTTGGCACATCTCACAGATACGTGTGAAAATCATTCATCCCATCAACCATTTTTGGCTATCAAAGAAGAGAAACCTGTGCTCACAACTACAGAAGGATGGATCAGCCCTG